GGCCTGCTGTTAGCGCTGGGCTGAGAGACGACGGCCGACAAGGAGGAATCAGTGAATAGTGGCATCATGATCTTGGCCGTTGGATGAAGATCTGATCACCCAAAAAAGTGACTTACACCAGGAAAAAATCAGTACGACATACACATTGGCAGTTTTTCTTTTTTTGCTGGTGAAAGCAGATCGCACGATCGAAACAGGCAGAGGGGAGAGAGGGAGACTGATTTCGTGCCTCGGCCAAGGGCGTCAGCGGCGGTGTCCTATCGACCATGGGGCTTCCGGCGCTAGAGCGGATCATCTCTATGCAGCGGGAGCAGCACCGCCGGCAAACGCGAGCCCGTGGTAAGCCGTCGCGGCGTCACCACCTCTCTCTCTCTCTCTCTCCTATCGAGCGCGTGGAAGCGGACGCACGAAATAAGCAACGCGCGGTGCCGTTTTGCTAGCGCGCGTTTTTTGCGTGTCTGCTAGAGCGTCCGTTCCGGCTGCGCGCGCTTAAAAACAAAGCGATTTTTCCAGCGCGCTGCTAAAATCCGGCGCATGTTGGATATGCTCTAGCCCCGGCCCCGCGCACTATATATAACCCACCCACGCCGAGTTCATCTCAGCCAGGCAACACAAGCATTCGACCAAGCCATCGATCCACCTCCTCGATCTGCATTTGGCATCGGTAGTCGACTTGCATTGCTCGATCGCGTTGGCGTCTAGCTCGAGCAACCTCAGGTTAGCAAGCTAGGTTGAGAAACCTTGAAGTACTCGTACGCGCGCGTGATCACACTCTTTCACTACGTATTTAAGTGTGTGATCACGTCGTCGCCGTCGACATGGTTGGAAGCAGTCCCATGCAGGCGGTGCTGGTGGCGCCGGGGGTGAAGGACAAGCAAGTACTCCCTTACAAGCGGGACGCGCTCATGGAGAAGCACGCCGCCGTCAGCCTCATGCGCTCCATCGCCGGCTCGGGCGTGCGCAGCGCCTTCTACGTCCTCGACCTCGCCAGGGTCGTGGACCTGTACATGCGCTGGCGCCGCGCACTCCCGGACGTGCGGGCGTACTACGCCGTCAAGTGCAATCCGGAGCCGGCGCTGCTCGGCGCGCTGGCCGCCCTCGGCGCCGGGTTCGACTGCGCCAGCCGCAGGGAGATCGAGGCCGTGCTCGCACTCGGCGTGGAGCAGGGCAGCATCGTGTACGCCAACCCGTGCAAGCCCGAGGAGCACATCGAGTACGCGGCGCAGGTGGGCGTCAACCTCACCACGTACGACTCCGAGGAGGAGGTGGCCAAGGTGAAGCGCTGCCACCCCGGCTGCCAGCTCATCCTCCGCATCAAGGGCCCCGACAACGGCGACGCCAAGGTCGACCTCGGCACTAAATACGGCGCGCACGCCGACGAGGTGGTGCCGTTGCTCCGCGCCGCGCAGCGCGCGGGCCTCGGCGTGGCCGGCGTGTCCTTCCACATCGGCAGCGGAGGGACCCGCACCGACGTGTACCGCGGGGCCATCGAGGCCGCGCGCGCGGCGTTCGACGCGGCCGCCGCGCTCGGCATGCCGGCAATGCGCGTGCTCGACGTCGGCGGCGGCTTCATGGCAGGAGGCACCGCTTTCGAAGAGGCGGCGGCGGTCATCCGCGACGCGCTGGCGGAGCACTTCGGCGACCTCCCGTGCGTGGAGGTCATCGGCGAGCCGGGACGGTACTTTGCTGAGACGGCCTTCACGCTGGCGGCGCGCGTCATCGGCAAGCGCACGCGCGGCGAGGTGCGGGAGTACTGGATCGACGATGGACTCTACGGCTCCCTCAACTGCGTCCTCATGGACGACTACGTGCCGCGCCCAAGACCGCTCGCCGCCCCAAGCACCGGCGAGGAGACGTACACTTCAACGGTGTTCGGACCGACGGGCGACTCACTTGACACCGTCGTGACAGGGTACCGGCTACCGGAGATGAGCGTGGGGGACTGGCTCGTGTTCGACGACATGGGCGCCTACTCGATCGGCTCCGGCTCTCATTTCAACGGCTTCTCCATGTCCGACCTTACAATATTCTTAGCCTACTCTAGCTAGGTCAGAAACAACTAAAATATGGACAACGTGCCACACATGTTTTCTTTTTTTGGCGAATGAACGTGCCATACATGTTGTTAATAAGTTTCATGTATTTTTGTAATTTTTATTCGTATAAACGGAGTTGCTTGTAATTAAGCTCATGTCTCCTCCAAGCTTTAAGGGCTCACGTTTGTTTGACAGCCGACGGATTATGGATAATATATAATATATAACTTTGGATAAAGGAGGAAATGGCATGATCTGAATAAACTAACAAACACGGACCAAGCTCAGTGTCATATACAAATCCATATAGCCTTGAATTATTAAGGTGAAAATGACATAGTCTAAATAAACGAACTAATTGTTCACAAATCTGACTAAGAGATAATAAGTAGAGTATATTTCTGTTTTCCCTCACATTCATCCGGTGCAAGCCCATTGAAAGTTAAATTAAAGATAAAAAGAAACCGTCAACTTGTACATTATTAACCACCGACCAATCTCATTGTCAATAATACAAAGATCCACCCTCTCACAACATGGCAAGTTGGCAACTGCACATAATATGTAACTTTGAATAATTAAATTGGAAATGGCATGATTAGGATAAAACTAGCACCTAAGACCTGGAGCAATCTTATGGTGAATAGGCCGTACATAAAACCAGCTAAGAACTTAGGTTGGTTGATATGTTGGGTTGGGTCTACTCTACTAGGGCCGACGAGTTTGGATTAGGGAATAATTGTTGGCATGTAGTAGTCTAAATGATTATCTTCTTTATTAGTTTGAGTAGGATGGTTGGTAGGGCCATCCAGGCAATGGCAGCGCAAACACCTTCTCTCCTTGCCTTCTTAATGTGGTTTTTCCTCGCCCTTGGTCTATTTGATGTTGTAGGGGAGGTGGGGTAAGTATTGATATCATGTGTATCCCGCGCCACACTGTAAGTTTCACTTGCATGCCACCTTTCGGTAGATCACCTCCGATCTGCCACGTGGGGTAAATGTGGCGACCAAACTCCCCATTTTTTTCTTGAAGAAAGGGATTGATCCTCGTTTTCGTCATTGAAATCATTCGAAGCTTGATACAACAGTCACCAACTAAACATCAAAATAAAGTAAAACTCGAAATAGCAAGGTGGAGGGAAACACCTACATACAAAACAACTTCCCATGTGATATCATAAAACTACATAGTTTTCAAACATACTAAAGAAGCATTTTGTTTCACAGGCGGCTGAAGCAACTGCACCGCTAGAGTTTTTCCACTGATGTGCTCCATCAGGTGTTTGTGACGCGTCGCTCTAGACGTGCCTATCCTCTTGCACGATCAAACACCTCGATTGCCACCTCTATTTGTTTTGCCGATCCTTGCCGGAGAGCCACCACTACTGTTTCCTTTTGTAAGACAACAAAATCAAATGAATAATAGAGTATAGGTCACGCAAGATTTCTCTCTAGAGGCACGCTTTGTTAGAGCTGTTTATCTTGATCGTTGGCTTCAGATTGTTGGTAGAAAATTTTCCAGGTGTTACATGGCAGAAAAGGGATGGTATTAACAGGGCCTATTAACAGGGCTATTATCTTGATCGTTGGCTTCAGATTGCCGTCACACCTGGGATTGAAGAACTCACTGTTATTCCTTCTGTGAGCAAAAAAAAAGTTCAACTTCCCATGTTCACTTCTATCTGAAGGAGGTGGAAACTCGATTCGGTGTCTGAATCTTTACCAGTGTGTGTTCTGTCCTACAGTCAGACTTGGTTTGAGTAGTTTGACTCAACTTGAGCTGTTTGATGTCCGTATTACAGGAAATGAGTTAGCTTGCCTTCTAGAAAATTCTGTTGCTTTGCAGCAGTTGGCACTCATGTATTGCAGTAAGATTATTAGACTGAAGATACCTTCCCTGCTGCAGCGGCTCATCACCCTTGAGGTGTCTAACTGTAAGAGGCTGCAAGCGATAGAGATCGAAGCTCAATGTCTTTCCAATTTTCGGTTTATCAGTGACCACCTAGCACATCTCTCGTTTGGAGAAGCATTACAGTTGAAGACCCTAGTCATGCAGTGTCGTGGTGCTCTCTGTTATGCTCGTGCCAATCTTCCATCCAGCTTGCCAAATCTTGAAACTATTTCTATATGTTCACACAGTGAGGTATACTGCGAATTTTCTGGTGACTATAGACTACTGAAATTGTGTATCATGATATTACAACAGTAGCCATGCACTTGCATAATTTTGATCCAAGATCTTTACGCAGATGCTCAGTACACCAATGATTGGTAGCAAATTTCCATTCCTCAAGCACTTGGCTGTTGTTCTTGCTGCGCCCCCAGCCTATGATTATTGTTCTCTCATATCATTTTTTGATGCTTCTCCTTCATTGGAGACATTCATCCTGAATGTAAGTCTCTTAGCCCTGTAAAGATATCTCCCTTTTCAGATCTCGCCCTTCGAATATATCACTTAACTATGGTGGAACTGTTAATTCATATTTAGGCGGTGTGGAACAGCATGCGGCATCCATCCATTTTTGCAGATCCTTCAGGTCGGAGGCAGATGCCGGAGCACCACCATGACAAGCTAAAGAGTGTGACTATTACTGGTTTCTCCTCTGCAAAGTGCTTGGTTAAGCTAACATGTCACATTCTTGAGAGTACAAAGTCACTTGAATATCTTACACTGGACACCACCGACGGAGATAGTGTCTCTAGGTGTTCTGTCAACGGATCAGGCAAATGCTATGGCTGCCCCATGGGCAGGGATGCCATCGTCGAAGCTCGGCAAGGGCTCTTGGCCATCAGGACATACATCGAGGGAATTGTTCCGTCTAAAGTGAAGTTCACTGTTGTGGGGCCTTGCAGCCAGTGCCATGTTGTTGAGGGCTAGATGCAACGGCTTTAGGTGAAGGTGAAACCTGTAGACCCTCACTTTTATGAAGGGCCTGATGAGGGCCAGGGATTCCTTTCTCAAATCTGGGTGTTTTCAAATGGGAAGTGAGACTTAAGTGTGGTATTGGGAGAACAACTGGTTTGTGGTGTTGTGATTGTTTTAGGATTGGTTTCCTTGAATCCCATCTCATAGCCTGTCACATTTTTTTGAACTGCATATTTTTGTTTTTTGGTTACGGCGAGTACTCTTTACTCCTTTTGTTCTCTTTATGCCGTTCACCATTTTGAACTGTTATGCCATTCGCTGGTGCTGACGCTCGTTGGTTGCAGCCTGTCAGCCGCAGCTCGCCGTTGCAACATCTTGGCTTGTCGGTTACAACAAAATCGACTGGTTCCATAAAAAAACGTCTTGCTGCTGAGCCAACGCAGCTTGCCATGCTGCCCGTTGCAGCTCGCCATGTTACCCGTTGTAGCAATTCATTCAGCTCGCCATGCTGCCCGTTGCACCTCGCTGTGTTACCGGTTGTAGCAATTCATTCAAAGGCGTGACGCAGATTGTAGCAAGAATGGCGATGCCGGTTTGTGCAGATCGAGCGTCCCAAAACACCCGTCTCCCGTGTTGCCTCCACGACAGCACGAGCGGATCCAAATCGAGCGCCGTCTCCAACCCTCTCCGCCTCCCTACCTTCCCTCGCCGTTGTCGGAGGAGTCCGTCGGGCTAAGCTCGGCCGACGGATGGCGGCGGCGGGGCCTCTCTGCAGCGGCAAGATCTCGCGGTGGGGAGGCTCGCCTCCTTGTGGCGCGGCACTGCGGCTACGGGGTGTGGCGACCACGAGGCTGAGTCTCCGACGAGTGGCAGCCGCGGCGACGTCGTCGGTAGGCTTCGGGGCCACGGTCTTGCAGATCCTTCTCGACGAGTCGGGGCGGGGGTGGCGGTCCCGCTTCCGTGCCTGCATTCTTGTTGTTGCTTTGAAGGCCGGTGATTCTTCCCCGCCCTTCAATTGGGATGAACTTGCACGGCTCACGGGTGGCAGGTGCCCAGCCGGTGATGCGAGTGGTTGGTGTTGCGACGTGTGTGGCGACGACGATGATGGAGTGTGGAGCCGGGTCGCTGCTTGTCCTTCTGATGTCGGCGGCCCGATTCGCAAACTAGTGTGTGTATGCTTGCTTCTCACTATGACAGAGAAGTTGGAGCTGTGTGCAGCGGGGCCCTTGCGGCAACGATGACCCCATGAGGGTGGTTTGAGCGGACGGTGCTCTTTGGAGGTTGTGTCGGGCTAGGTTGGTGCGAGGCGTGCAACTTTCTCCAATGAAGCGCATCAGAAAAATTAGAGTTGTCGCCGTGTGTTGTTCGTTCGAAGGGGTCTTGACGGGTCGTCTGCGGCGAAGTCGGAGTCGCTTGCTCGGGGAGAGGTGATGACGATGACAATGCATGCAACCTCGACGGTGCCCTCTTCTTGATGGTGTGTGTGATCTTGTTGGTGTCAGGTCGGCCGGGTACCCTTTCTTGTGGGCGTGTTGTAACGGTTTTCGCCCGGATTTCCGTTAATTAACCGGACAACTCTATTCTACTCCCTCCGTCCCATAATGTAAGATGTTTTTTTACTTAGTGTAGTGTCAAAAAACATGTTACATTATGAGACAGAGAGAGTACCTTTTTAGTGACAAATTATTAACCTTTTGTTAAAGTAAGACCTAGCTTAGCCATAATTGAGCGATCAAACTAAATCCATATGTGAATTTTCAGTGACAGCCCATGTGTTTTACCCGTAGGGAGAAGCCAAACTATCGTCTGCTCACATGTTTTGGGAGGACCCACTTGTGCAGCGGCCAAACGCCTCGCGTTCTTCCTGGACACGTGGTCGTGGCAGGGATTTCATCCACCTCGCGCTTTCTGGATTCAGAGTCGAGGTTTAGATTCGGGCTCTTCTTTTTCCGGTGAAAAACAAATCGCGTGATCGACGCCGGCGGTGGGTGAGAGAGGGGAACGATTTTCGTGCCCCGGCCAAGGGCGGCGTCGTCGGCGTCGAATCGATCATGGGGCTTCCGGCGCTGCAGCGGATCATCTCCATGCAGCGGGAGCGGCGCCGCCGGCAAACGCGAGTCCGTGGTAAGCCGCCGCCTCCGCCGCCGCCGCCGCCTCTCTCTCAGCTCCTCGCCCCCCTCCCCCGATATTCTGTACATGCGTGCCCTCGTATGCTGTCCCCCTTCCGAGAAGGGGATAGTCTTATTCAATATTGCTCCACGGCTGGCAATGCCAGATTCCGTTCGCGTTTGGGCGTGAATTCTTGCTTTGGTGGATAGCAAGATTATTCTCTCGTTTAGTTCGTATGCCTGTTTACTTCCGAACAAATAAAATTTGGGTTCTCAGCAGCAACAAATTAAGGCCTTGTTTGGTACTAGTGTATTTTAGGGAATTGGTGGGGATTATCCCGATCAAACCCCTAAATCCCCACATATCCCAAAACACCATTTGGTTCTAGTGTATTTCACATGTTTCATCCCCATATTTCCCCACAAATCCCCAAACTCTAGTGCATTTTTCTCAATACCCAATACACTACCCCTACCTAGTGGGTTGAGGATAAATGGGGATTTGAAGGGATTGGAGTACCAGGATATTACTGAAACCATTACTATTGTTGACCAAAATTGAATGAGAGAAACACAGTGGATTTCGCCATGTGCTTCCATGTGTTTTGAGTTTGCTGATTTTTTCTGTCAATGCGCAAGCTGTCTATGACTATGCATCGTGCGTTGCAGGTGGATTGATTTCTTCAGTGCCTAAAAGAAAGTCACCAGCCCTCCAGCAAGATGGTAATTCTGAAGGTGGCAAAAGAATGAAATATCTGCCGAGTCTTCCGGAGGTATGTGATAAGATGCTGATGACAGAAGAACTGTGCTGCAAGTAAATTATCAATGTCGAACATTTTGTTTTTTTGTACGTTTAATTTATAGTGATGAAACATAAATCTGCTGGCAAGTAACACGATTAGAACATTCCTTCTCTTTGCGTATATTCTTCTTTTGTAGAAAAAGGTGAAAAGCTACATATGAGATTTCTGTACTGTCCTTTGGATTTTTCTAAAAGCCTAAAACACATGATCATAGCCACATATGAGTGAACATAGAACCATGGCAAGTATGCATGTTTAGAGCAACTCCAACGCGCCGACCCAAACGGACGGCGCTTTTGTCCGCTATTTGTCCGTTTGGGTCGGCCGTCCGCTCGGCGTCCGCCCTCTTTTTGATTTGGGTCGGCAATGTGCCCAACACGCCAACCCATATTTGTCGGCGTGGCCGGCTGGCCGCCCTTTTTTCAACAAATATGCACACATATTTCATTGTTTCACAAGCAAACATATAAAAAATAGCATAGTTTCACAACCAAATAAAACATAGTTTCAAAACCAAATGATGCAAGCATAGTTTTACAAGCCGAATAAAAATTAAATTGTCTCAAATACATGTGAAAAGAAGATACATCTATTGGTTGCCAACATGAGCCCACATATGCTCAACCAAATCATTTTGCAGCTGCATGTGAGTTTCCAATCATGCATTTCATGATGAAATTGGGTGAACTGTTCAAACGTTGCCGCTCCTCTATGCTCAGGCACAACATTCTCACCCTGAAACTCAAACCCTTGATCGTACATACGTTCCGGACGCTCATCTTCTACGATCATATTGTGCATGATCACACAAGCAGTCATCACCTCCCACAACTTCTTGGTGCTCCAAGTCCTAGCAGGAAACGATGCCCCATCGAGATTGCAAAACACCAAAGGCACGCTTGACGTCCTTTCTAGCACTCTCTTGCTCTTGGGTAAATCTTTTCCTCTTCTCTCCGACAGGGTTGGGGATTGTCTTCACAATAGTGGTCCACTGAGGATAGATACTGTCACCTAGGTAGTATCCTTTGTTGTAGTTGTGGCCGTTGATGGTAACATTCACCAGCGGGCTGTTGCCTTCGGCAAGCCTTGCAAACACCGGCGAGCGTTGAAGCGCGTTGATATCATTGTGTGATCCGGCCATGCCGAAGAAAGAGTGCCAAATCCAGAGATCTTGTGAGGCCACGGCCTCAAGTATGACAGTGCAAGCCCTGACATGGCCCTTATACTGCCCTTGCCAAGAAGAAGGACAGTTCTTCCACTCCCAGTGCATGCAGTCTATGCTGCCCAGCATCCCTGGGAAGCCCCTGCTGGCATTCAGCGCCAACAAGTGGGCTCTATCTTGAGTAGTCGCCTCTCTCAAGTACTCAGTGCCAAACACAACAATCACAACCTTGCAGAACTTGTACATGGAGTCTAGGCATGTAGAATCGCTCATACGGACGTACTCATCAATGAGATCACCGGGCACTCCGTATGCAAGCATCCGGACGGCTGCAGTGCATTTCCAATAAGATGAGAAGCCAATCTTTCCAAGGGCATCCTCTTTGCACTCGAAATAGTCATCGTATCCGACTACCCCCTCTCTAATACGGTTGAGAAGATTCCTACTCATACGAAAACGCCGCTGGAATTTCTGATGTTTGAACAACGGGTTGGTTGTGTCAAAGTAGTCCTTCCAAAGAAGGAAATGCCCGCTCTCTCGGTTGCGATTCAACGCCGGAAGGTGCCCCAGGATCGAGCCACGAAACAACGGCCGTTGGCTATTAAGGTGGTGATGGACCAACACGGCAGCCAAGATCTCCTCCTCATCGTCGGACGAGGAATCAACGGAGTCGCAAAGGAAATTGTGGAAAAAGAACTCGTCGGCGGAGTCCATTTTGTACCTTGGCAAACTGTCGAACAGTTTTCAGGCGTTGACGAAGGAGCTGGTCGGCGAAGAGACGCACGCCTCCCTTGGACTAGGTGGCTGGCTGGAGGCGTCCGATGAGCCTGCTGGCATCCGACGAGCGTCCCGGCGTCAGGACGAAGGAGCTGGCCGGGGCGGCGACGCGACTTCCTGCTCGCGGTGGCGTCGGGAGGTGGGGGTGGGAAGCTTCGGTGCCCCGGCGGCTAGACGGTGTTGGCGGCGACTTGGGAGGTGGCGGCGTTGGGGGGAGGTGTGTCGGCACAGGTTGCTGGCAGAGGCACCGGAAATGGGTGGCGGCGGCGACGTGGCTGAGGAGGGCGAGGGTTTGCTGTCGATATTGGGTGGGAGAGGAGGGCCAATATGCCACCGACTAGCGGGCCAGGGGAGGAGTAGGTGGGCGCCGCGCGCGTCCATTTCGTGTCCGCGCCGACGCAAATGAGGCTCAAAATTGGGCCGGGAATGGGTCGGCAGGCGGACGAAAAGCGGACGCGCGTCTGTTTGGGTCAGTGCGTTGGGCCGACTTTTCTATCCCCGCCGACCCAAACGGACGCACGCAGACGAAATGGGTCGGCGTGTTGGAGTTGCTCTTAGGATAGCATAAGTTGGAAAACGATCCATTTCACGAAAGGCATAAGTGGGATACTTTGCTGCACTGTTGAAGTACTTTGTTTTAAACTAGTCTCTAAATGATTTTCTTTTTGTATGTCAATTATACAAAAAGGACAATAGTTTCACTCTGTATTGCATTGCACATTGTGCAACCAACTAGGGTACAATGTACATCAAATGGTCGTATTGTTTTTCTTTCCCCAATTGAAATAATCATTTGCTTATGTTCTGTTTCTGTCTCCGCATGTGTGCATGACATGCAGGACATCTGGTGGCATATACATTCACTAATGCCAATGCAAGATGCTGCTCGAGCTGCCTGCGTTTCTCGTACCTTTATGCATTCCTGGAGACGCCATACCAGCCTCACCTTCAGTAAAAAAACACTAGGCATTGATGAAGATGTGTGTGAAAAGGATGGTAAAGCAAGAGATCTCACCTACAAAGTTGACAGAATTTGGATAGAACACCCAGGCATTGGTGTGAAGGAAGTCAGAATTGAGTTCTATGATAACAAGACCAGGGTCTGTTTTCTTGATCGCTGGCTTCAGATTGCCGTCACACCTGGGATTGAAGAACTCATTGTTATTCCTTCTGTGGGCCATAAAAGGTACAACTTCCCATGGTCACTTTTATCTGAAGGAAGTGGAAACTCGATTCGGTGTCTGTTCCTTTCCAGGTGTGTGTTCTGTCCAACAGTCGGACTTGGCTTGAGAAGTTTGACTCAAATTACGCTGTGTTGTGTCCATATTACAGGAAATGAGCTAGCCTGCCTTCTGGACAATTCTTTTGCTTTGCAGCAGTTGGGACTCAGCCATTGCAGCAAGATAATTAGACTGAAGATACCTTCCCTGCTGCAGCGGCTCATCACCCTTGAAGTGTCTGCATGTAAGAGGCTGCAGACAATAGAGATTGAAGCTCAATGTTTGTCCAAATTTTGGTTTAGTGGTGAGCGGCTAGTACAACTCTCGTTTGGAGAAGCATTGCAATTGAAGACCCTAGACATGCACTGTCATGGTGCTGTCTGTGAGGCTCGTGCCAATCTTCCGTCCACCTTGCCAAATCTTGAAACACTTTCTGTATTTTCATATTTTGAGGTATACTACGAATTTTCTGGTGACCATGGACTACTGAAATGGGTATTATGATATTACAGTAGCCATGCACTTGCATTTTTAATCTGAGTTATTTATGCAGACGGTCAATACACCGATGGTCGGTAGCAAATTTCCATTCCTCAAGCACTTGACTGTTAAACTTGCTGCAGCCCCAGCCTATGATTATTGTTCTCTGATATCATTTTTTGATGCTTCTCCTTCATTGGAGACGTTCTTCTTGAATGTAAGTTTGTTCACCCTGCAAAGATATCTTCCTTTCCAGATCCTGCGCTTCAAATAGATCACTTAACTATGGTAGAACTGCTTGTCATCTTTAGGGGTTCCAGGGGAGCATGCAACATCCATCCATTTTGGCAGATCCTTCAGGTCGGAGGCAGATGCCGAAGCACCGCCATGACAAGCTCAAGAATGTGACTATTGCTGGTTTCTCCTCTGCAAAGAGCTTGGTTGAGCTAACCTGTCATATTCTTGAGAGTTCAGAGTCACTTGAGTGTCTTACATTGGACACCACGGAAGGATATGATTACCTTAGGTGTTCTGTCAACAGATCTGGCAAATGCTTCCGCATGCGCAGGGATGCCATCTTGGAAGCTCGTCGCGGGCTCTTGGCTATCAAGACATACATCGAGGGAATTGTTCCACCGAAAGTGAAGTTCACTGTTGTGGAGCCTTGCAGCCAGTGCCATGTTGTTGAGCTTTAGATGCCAGGTTATCTGACGATATAGTAACACAGTGTCCTACTTATATGTTAATTTCTACTACGTTAAAATGCTTTAGGTGAAGGTAAAACCTATACACTCCCACTTTTTGAAGGGCTTGATGAGGGTCAAGGATTCCTTTCTCGAATATGGGTGTTTTCAAACATGAAGTGAGACAAAAGTGCGGTTTCGGGAGAACAACTGGTTAGATGTGATCTGATATGAGCGTGATTACTCTGTTTAGTTTGATATCGTCTGTTGTAAACATGTTATGGTTGTGACTGTTCTAGGATTGCTTTCCTTGAATACCTTCTCATAGCTTGTCACATTTTTTATTTTTTACTGCATATTTTTGCATTTTTTTTTGTTATACAGTGGCCAGTGGGTACTCTTAAGTCTTGTTGTTCTCTTATTATGCACATTATGTTGGTTCCACTGTTGTTCTCAAGTCTGTTTGGCTGTGTAGAAACGATATTAGTTCAAGTTCATAGTCTTGTGAGGATATATTTTGCTCATGTATCAGTTGGCCACGATGGAAGGTTGATGCTTGATTCGTAGCCCCACATGGCCTATTCGTCTATGTTCATATGCAGAAGACATTTGTACATGTATCCTCTTTGGTAACCTATAGAAAGAACCCTACCTGCCTCTCTGCCTTACCAAAATATGCATCTTGTGTTCAAAGCTATGAAACATAGTAGTACATAGTGTGTGCCACAACGTCATGCACATAGGCTACAAGTCGCATGCTTCTAGAATAAAAAAAATAGAAACTGCACACTAAACAAAGATAGAAGGAGCATATGCATATAGACCGATGAACGCGCGCAATGATATTGACCAACACAGGACTGGCCATAGGCATAAATTTGACGGCGAGTTAGACAAACCGAAAACTGATTGACATGAAAATCTCACTGCAACTTTGTATATATCATTGCATATCAGCTCTCTCCAATGGATTAACATGTGCGAAAGACAAACTAAAAATTACTACAAGATTACCACATAAGTCACAGACCCTCGTCTTGCATCATCTCGTGCTTACTGTCTACTTACATCATCATCACAAAAACACAAGCTTAATCTCACTCACCATTGAAACCACCAAAGAGAACCTAAACTTTTCACTTAAACTTTACCGATCCATAATCTGATGCAGAGGTACAGCAGTGTGGTAGAAACTAGCATCAAAAGGGGGAGCGAAGGCAAGAATCCGACAGGTGCTCCCACGCATACCCGATGGCCTCCTCCTTCCCCACGTCGTCGAGGTCGTTGTGCTTCGGCGCGGATGCGCTTCTGGGTGTTGCAGGCGCCGCGCAGGCTGCCAAGCTGCGAATCGGGGGCGGCGGTGCCGAGGAATACCGGCTTGAACTGGTTCATCCCGGCGTTGGCGAACAAGGTCGCGGGGTCGTCGACGGGTACCAAGGGGCTCGACGACGACGGCCATGACTTGGACTCGAAGTAGTTGATGAAAACCTCCCGGTCCCGGGCGGCCGTCCAATCTGGCGGCCCCTCCATCGGAGGGCCGGCGGTGGCGGCGACGGCGACCGTAGATGCTCGGAAGGAGGAGAGGTGGATGGCGGCGGTGTCGGCAGGCAAAACCCTAGTTTTTCTTTTTCTTTCTCGACCCTTAAAAAACCCAGTTGAAAACGGAAGCCGGGGAAACGCATACTATACAATCTCGGATTCTGGAGACGGCCGACGGGACGTACTCGGATTCTGAAGGTTCTCTTCGGTAGCTAACCCGGCCCCGCAAGTCATGGTCATTGATTTCTCTGTGAAGATTGGGCGGTGCAGATGAAGCACTTGTTATGTTTCTGTAATGGGATCCCTTCTGTAATTCAAAATTTGTGTGTTATACAATGCGTCGCCTAAACTGGCCCTTTGCTGGGCTGCGGCAAGAGTGCAGGATGAGTACCATCAATCCCTATTTTTATTTAATATAGTAGTAGCTAGCAAAGATTATAGTTCATTCCAGCTTCCTGGTTCACCAGAATCCAGCAAAACCGGACCAAGTACTTCTCTACATATACTGTATCTGAATTCTGGTCTCTGAACGCGCAGCAGTACTTCTCGATCCAGGAGGGCTCCTGGCATGCGACGTCACTCTCGTGCGACGGCCACCAGCTGCTTTCCGATGTTGCGCCCGTAGAAGAGCCCGATGAGCGCCGCCGGGAAGCTCTCGATGCCCTCGGCGACGTCCTCCACGTAGGTGATCTTCCCTTCCTTGAGGTAGCCGGCCATCTCCTCTTCGAACTTTCTGTAGCTGCCGTAGTGATCCGTCACGATGAACCCCTCCATGCGGATGCGCTTGGTGATGATGCAGAAGAGGTTGCGCACGCCCTCGCGCTGCTCCAGGTTGTACTGCGAGATCATCCCGCACACCGACACCCGCCCGTGCATCCTCATGTTGAGAAGCACCGCGTCCAGCATTGCGCCGCCCACGTTCTCGAAGTAGATGTCGATGCCCTCCGGGAAGCACCTGAAAGCAAGTATCATGGCACGCAGAACTCTTTATTATCTGGCCCTGTTCATTGGAAGTTAGAAGAATCGCAAGAGTATATGGTAGCTAGGGAAGGGCCCTGCAATTAACCTCTTCAGTGTGGCGTCCAGGTCCTGCTCCTTCTTGTAGTTGAAGGCATCGTCAAACCCGAACTTTGTTTTTAGGAGGTTGACCTGAGGAGAAGGCAAATTTATTCCAACAAAATAGAAAGTTTTGCCAACAGCAGTGACATAATTACATCAGTATGAACAAAACTACTCATTGTCTGGCGATGTGCTCAAATGAGTAGGCACAAACCTTCTCATCAGAACCGGCACTACCAACCACGTAGCAGCCAGAGATCTTGGCAAGCTGCCCGACAAGCTGTCCAACGGCACCTGACGCTGCCGACACAAAGACATAGTCGCCCTTCTTTGCCTTGGCCACGTCAAAAAATCCAACATAGGCAGTAAGGCCAGGCATGCCTGAATTATCAAGTTTCCAGCAGTCAGAGAAAATATACTAGCCAGTATAGCAGCCAAGGTTACATTTGATTGATTCTATAGCAGACTAAGGTCTACGAAGAAATGAAACCATAACTTTCCGGTTTCAGAATAGCAAATAAATTACTGGAGTATAATGATAACCAGACCTGGTTAACTTGTGACAAATAAAAGTGAACTCACCAAGAACTCCTGTGTAGTATGAAAGCGGCAAGTCAGGATGGTTGATCTTGAAATGTGACTGCAGGTCCGTGATCAAAGTGTACTCTTCACATCCTGTCAATCCCCACACCAGATCACCGGGCTTGTAATCCTGGTGCCCGGATTCCACCACCTTGCTCACGCCTAAAGTAGTTAAAACCTGGCAGGGTTCACGTACGGAGGCAGCAAATTGTCATGCCTTCAGCTTCAGGTGGGGAAAAATTCAGATTAGAAAAAGAAAAGGCTAAATCCATGTACAGAACTGCCGATCAGATTACTGTCGGCTGTCCCTTGTTCCGTGAAACAGTAACAGAGTAGCTATTGCAAGTTCTGCTCATGCGAACCACAAGCTACAGATCCAACAAGTTTGATGCTAGGTTAAAACAAATTAAAGGACGGCAGTACCTCCCCCTGGACGAAGTCCGGCACGTGGCTGGGCTCGTCGTTCCCGGACATCCGGCTGCGCAGGTAGGGGTCGCAGGAGAGGTAGAGGTTCTTGACCACCACGGCGGCCGACCCCGGCGGCACGGCCAGGCGCGCCGTCGCGGGGACGAGCTCCATGTCTTCCTCGGAGGGGAACCCCGTCACGTAGCGCTTCAGGATCACCCTCTTGTTGCTCACCTCCGCCATTGCTTCCTTCCTCGGACGCGCCGATGAGTTGGTGATCTGCAGTAGTCTACGTAGATATGGAGTACTATGAAAGTGAGGGAGCAGCCGCGCGCGCTTTTAATGCGTGAGGCGCGGGCCGGGGAAGACCGGACCGGACCGGACCGCACCGGAGATTTGTCAGCGGGCCGGACTTGTGAGGTATACGTTGTGCGTTGGACGACACCAGACCGTGACGCGCGTCTTTGCCGCGCCGCTCTTCGTCTCTTCTCTTTCTATTTTGGTACGCGGTCCAATGTGGCTGGCTCCCGCGGTCTAATGTGGCTGGCTCCCGCTGCGTTCTATCGGACCATCTGGCCGGAGCTTGTTGTGACGTTGTTACACGTCGCAGTATTGGTGTCCACCGGTGGTGTTCATGCGAGCCACACAGCAGTCACGTGTGTTAATGCGTGCGGCGTGAAGAAGAGGGGGCCAGAGTGTGACGCGCGTCTTGCCGCACCGTTCTTCATTCATGAGTTAACTCTTGTCTTTCTATTTTGTACTCGATCTACTGTGGCTGGTTCACGATGCGTTTCACCTGGACCATCTGGTATACGATTGTTGTGATGTTGTGACACGTCAAACATTGATGGTGTTCACGTGAGCCTTGTATGGACGTCAAGATTATCTTCAACCAAAGGTAGAGTAGTTTTATCTGAGTATATGCTCCTTTGCACAAAATCAAACAAGAGGACTAATATAGAGGGTTGCAAGGCTCATGCCTCAGTCCATACCTTACCGAACTATTCAAGCATGTAGATCAGATCGTGAGAAGAAAACACTAAAGGACACATCTTGAAGATTGATTGATTGCAAATCATACAATGGATGAATTGTGCGATGCACGATTACAAGTATGAACTAAATGAGGAAGCACTATAGTGGTGATGGTGGCTATGGAGATGGCCGCGGCTAGGGATGAAGATGATGGTGATGTGGTTGTTGTAGACGCTCCGTTCTGGCCTCCCTCGTTGTATTTCAAGATGGTCCCCTTTATAAAAGTTGCTCAGGTGGATGACCTGCCTCAGTTTTCATGCCATACGGGTGCTCATACAAGCGCGCATGGAACACCGTCTTTTGCTCTGTTTTCGCAGAAACGCCTCTTGTGGATTCCTTCTTCCTCCATTCTCCTTCCTTTCCTTTTCCACACGTGACTTCTTCCCTTTCTAGCCCATTTCCTATGAAAACACATCAAAGAGAGGATTTGTGGAGTCCCTTGCATTCATTAGTCGTCAGAGCGAATACCTCTTTTTAAATAAAATATCTTGGTTTGAACAAAGGTGAATGAGTGTAAAAATATCACTCGTCAATGGTCTCATCGGTCAAAAGTGATCAGGCAAACCGACCAGGCGTTGAATTTTGGCGCTACGGGCTCCAATGCGTAAACATCACCTAGTGCTCGCTTCCTCTCCTTAGGCATGTGAGTAACATAAATCATGTTTACATCCTTTACTTTGGGAGGGAATTATTTTGGCCTCCATTGTTTGGCCTTGGGGGTTCATCCTCATCCTCACTACGAGGCTGGCCCTTGCCTGGGTTATCGGCTGCGATCTTGTCGGCCTGCTTTATAACCCAGAAGTTCTGGGTTGAGTGATTTGCAGGTTTGTCTGAGGTGCCATTAATTTGGCAAGGCGCCAAGGCCTATCGAGGATCTTGTCCAATGTCGATGGGCAGGATTGAATATGAATACAGCTAGAAGTCGCGAGCTAGATGACCAGGATTGAATATATTGGCAGCAGGTAACATTACGCACACGTATGTATTAATAATTATCATGCTTTCATGAACTGTAGTATCTTGTGCATTTTCAACCCACGACATGACTTATTTGTGTGACCTTTCTGCTCTTTAATAAATGACATGTTTGTGTGTATTCTAAAAACATGACTTATTTGATGTGTCTAATACATGCACAATGATGGATTTTTTTTATCATATAGTATTTTCTAGTCAAGAACGGACTCAACTAGAGTATCAACTTGGGAAAGTGCCTACCTGCGCTCGAGCTCATATGCGACCGATATCCCATCCCTCCGCAGTCACCAAGATCCACGCTCCCGTGTGTTCTCCGTATGAGCAACGTAAAGAAATTTGTTTTCTGATCCCGGCCCACACATGGCAGTAACCGTGCATAGACGGCGTAGGGATTGTGGTTGATGGCTCAGGTTGGGGCCCACGTCCTGTACCGCGTACATGGATTCTGTTCCAGTTCGGACCCGTAATGGCGATCCCCGCCCGTCTGCACCAACAGCTCAACTGATTCCGTCGTCAGCACCTGAAGAAATCCTGCCGCTGGTGCGGTGGTGCCATGCCCAGATTGCGGCCGGCGCGCCATCTTCTTCGTCTCCGTCGACGGCGCCAGACCTGGATCTCGTTTCTACAAGTGCGTCATCAAAGTGGTAATGTTGAATTAAAAAATTGACTGTTTTTTTATATGCTTTTTTCGATCAACACTTTTGACCCCTTTTAGCCGATTCGCATTTTTCGCAGGCTGAGCTCTGCGGCTTCCTGAAATTTACTGATACTTAAGTAGCTCGCTCAGTTCTCCGTGGGTCCTCAGTACGATCTTCAAGCCCTCCTGGTGCCAACTTTCTCCAGCGTAGGCTTCCATGGGACAGATCTTTTCAGGAGCCTGAAGCAATCTTCTCACCGGAGCACCATGTCCACCGCCAGGCAAGCAGCACTGACGAACCTCCAGCATGCGCGGCCTGCTTTGGTGGCAATCAACCTCATAGCTGTACTGCTTGATGTAGTTTTGGACGTCGCTATTGCTAATAATTTTCAGCAAGAAATGGCTGTTACGACTTAGGCGAGTTAGAGACGGCAATTTTTGCCTTGGGTGTAGGATTGATAAAAGGAAAATTAGCAAAAATATAATATCCATGTGTGCTGAAATCATGAGTTGATTGTGTGCCAGCAATGGTGGTGCTGTCGCGATCTCCTCTTAGTTCCATTTGGAACACTACCTCTACCTCTCGACATCTATTTGTGTTGAATATTATCACAATTTTAGCCCACGGGCACCTGGATCCATTTTGCACAACAAGAAATATGCAAAATTGTTCACTGAAATATAGGGAGGACAGAGACACAAGTAAACGAACACCATCAGTCGGGATGGATCACAAACATCTTTGCTATCTGTTGATTCCTGATGCAGGTGGGGATATATTCCTGAAGTTGGAATGCTAGCACTCCTCGGGATGGACCCAAAACTCTAAATCCGGCTGAAAGCCTGAAACATAGTTTTAAATCTTTGGAGAAAAAAAAACCATCACATTTTCGAACCCTCGGATAGCAGAGCATAGTGTAACATCCTCATAGGATTTTAATCAGCAGCACAAATTTTTGGCATCAGAACTGCCTCGCCATCACAATGGCAGAGTATAGAACAACACATATCTAGAAAGCACAATGCATAAACAAATATCCATTGAAATTGAACAGGCACTTCTCATCAACACGATCTGACATGATGACATGCATTATACCAAGCAACTCACAGTCGGATAACATCTGTAGAAATCACTAAAGATGACATCGCATGATTATTTTGTCGCATTTTTGCAAGTTGATGCTGATATTTGGCAGTACAAGTTTGTTTCAGCCACACTGACTGCCTAGCATTTACGGCATCACCAGGCATGGCAAGAGATTGAGCACCCTGCATGAGTAAGTTGTGCTTCACGATGACGAAGAACATGACCTAGGTACCTGCACAGGCGGTTGTAAACTTCATCAGCGGAGCCAATTTTAGCTACTCGTTAGGCAAAAAAATCAGCAAAAACATATCTGCAAGTTCAAACAACACTAGGAGAACAGTTTCTACCAGTTAAACATGTTCTCGCATTTCTTTGCCCATCTCAGTATAAAAATGACTTACAGCAGACCATAGAACCATAGGCTGCCAGAGGTGAATACTGTACTCCATAGATACATGTGGCCACCACTTCCGGCGCAAGAAACTTCTCGAGATCTAGGAACCTTTCATGTGTCCATATTACGAGCCCATCGATGCTCGCCATCAGTGACAACAGATGGAGATTGAGTCCTTCGACTCTGGCCAAACAAAGCCGTCCATCCTCTGTCAGCATGATGACAGTCTGCCACTCTTAGCTACAACGAGCGTAGTCTGGGAACTCCTCAGTTAGACCAAACCTATGATTATTCAAAGAGAATCATACTCAAAGATACGGCAGCACTGGGGTTCTCAGCATAACCGCGCACTGCCTTCTCGAAAGCACTGACGTGCGATGGACACGGGGCTCTACTAGGTGCAACAGCTCCATCCAGTCCTCAATCTGCAACAACCGCTTTTTTTTGCTTCATTACGGCCGAACATACTAAATTTGACAGCAAATACGATCAATCAAAACATGCCTTAGCAATGCAACTAAAATTTTGTGGCTCTTACCTACAGGAATGCCAGAACTTGCCTGCATCTACATATGTACAATTTTTTCAGCCCAGGAACTGGCATGTGCTTCACCATACTACAACCCACACAAACTTCCTTTCCATTCCACATGATGGTTTTTCAACACCAACTACCTGGCCATACCTAAATTCTTTTTGCACATCCATTACTACGCTAAATCATCCCACCTGCCTGTCATACTGAATTCACCTCCTATGTCCTACGGTGGAATGAACTAACAAGCATCAGGCTTACCTCTTGTTCCATCCAGGGGCATGTGGATTCATCTTCACCGTGGAGAGTTCTGAGACTTGTGGGGATCTGTCCCTCCCTAAAGCCATCCGCACGACACTCCCTTCCTGAGATTAACTAAATTAACACTATTTCCTGCATGCATTCGTCCTCTCGACATTCAGCCGGCTCTTCTCATATCGGATGCCGAAGCCTTTCGCCCATGAGTACAAATTATAGAAGTCATAAGCCTAACCTAAAGAGTCTGAAAGTAGTGCCAAGCACTGGTGTGATCACATTCTCGGCTGGGTTGTCGGCATAACTCCGAATAGCCTTC